GCTGGGCACGGCGGGGGCACATCAAGTGGCAGGCCCCGCCTGCCGTGGTTCAACGGACAGGGCACGCCTTCCGTGGCATCCGCCCGGTGCGAATGAAAACCGCCGTATGCCGGGAGTTCGCACAGACGGAGAGAAAGGGCGTGGTTCAGCGGAGGGAAAGAGAGAGAAAGAGAGGCAGGGAGAGAACCCTGCCCCGACCGGAAGGATGGGGGCCATACGCTGTGTCCCTGGAGGCGGGAAGACTCAGCCGGCCAGGGCATATGATTGCTCAGGCCTCGCACGTGACCCTCCGCATTGCTTCCTGCCCTTGGACAGCAGCCCACCAGCCCGTCCCTGAGAAGGCGGTCGATCTGCCTTGGTGAGCCCTCGTCCGCGCCCTCACAGGCCCCCGGGAGAGGCGGGGGAGGGGGACGTGTATTTCCGACGGCAGAGCAATGTGCCCCGGCGCTCTCCACCGGCGCGTGCGCGATCGTGCATGGCTCCCCCCCTCTCCCTCTCTCTCTCCCTCTCTCCCTCTCTCCCCTTCTTCCGCCTGCTCGCCCCAGACACCGTGCTCTCGGCCGGCCCCCTCCCTGATCGCCCGCCTTCCCTCCCTTCGCATCTTATCACCTTTCTCCCTGCCCCCTTCGCGCCAAGCCCGATGGAACGGTTTCTTCGACAGCGACCGGCCTTGATCGCGGATCCGCCGGCCTCCACAGCCTCCGTCCCGGAGCCGGATGACGATGAAAGCCCCGACGTCATCCGATCCGTGGCCCTCCTTCGCATTGGCACTGGTACGTCGGCGCCGCCTCCTTTGACTCCGGTCCCTCCTGTGAGGTGCCCTCCTGGCAGCTCCACACATCTGACATCGACCACTTGCCATGTGTGTGTGTGTGTGTGTGCGTGCGTGCGTATGTGCCTGTGTGTGTGTGTGTGTGCCTGCGTTCACACAACCGGCTATGTGCCCAGATCTCGCGGACTTGACGCTTCCGCCAGAAGTCACCATGGCACCCGGTGATCCAGCGGACCCCCTCCAACACAATGTTACCGTCACACCGGTCTTCGGGCCGTTTGCCGGCCGCCGGGTGGACTTCACTTTGCAGTTCCCTCCGGACTATCCCTTCCGCGGGCCGCGAATCCGCTGCCGCCAGGCGGTGCGCCACTTCCCCCCCCCCCCCCTCCCCTTTGCACTGCCTTCCTTTTTCCATCCTCGGGCGCCCTTCGGCGCTGTGGAGCTCTGCCCTTCTTCTGACGCTGCTTGCGCCGGCGGCCCTGCTTCCCGTCGGAAGATCTTCCACCCAAATATCGATGTCGGGGGCGGGGTTTGCCTGAATATCCTCCGGCTGGAGTGGTCACCTGTACACACCCTCGAGCACCTGCTGGTCGGCCTGCTGAACATTATGACGGTACATGCCACGCACGCCAGTCCCAAATAAGGGCGCTGTCACTTACCCAACTCCTCGCGCCCTCTCCACCTGCGCCGCTTGCTCCGCCTGGCCACGGACGAAAGGAACCATACCCGGAGGACCCACTCAATAAGTGTGCGCCCCCCCCCCCCCCCCCCCCCCCTGCCTACCCTCAACTTCCCCTGTGCTCTGCTCTGCATTCCTCTCTCCTTCCTAGGCCGCCCCATCCTTTCGGCATGGAGGGAGGATATGGGCCTCCCTGCTGACATGAGCTTGCTCCGCTTCCCCCTCGACGTCACCGTTGCATAGCCGCCGCGGACATCATGCTGCAGGACCCCCGCCGGTATGTGGAGATCGTCAACCTCACCATCGCCGGAGGAACCTTCGACGGGGTGGCTTTCAGTGCGCTGGACCGTGCCTAGCCGCCCGACGCGTGCATGTGCCAGACAAAAAAACACCCTGGCCATTTGCGGTTGTCTGTGTTTTGGTATTTGGTCGGGGGGGGGGGGGGGGGGGGCGGGGGGGGGGGGGGGGGGGGGGCGGGCACGGCCCCGGGGAAGAGACACGGCGGCGGAAACGCCCTGGCAAAAGGCAAACGCCCCGGGCGCAAGCGGGGCACATCACTCGGCCTTGGCCTTTTCAGCAGCCATCCAAGGAGCCTTGTGGAAATCGGCGTCGCCCTCGATGGACACGCTGGAACGGGACCACACAAGCAGAGCCGCCAGCATGAGGAAGATCACCATGCTCAGGCTGACGGGCTTGATGAGCAACGCCTCCGGCCCATTGAGGCGGTAGGTCACCTTCAGGGGGCGAGTGCCGGAGGGTGGGGATGTGAGTGGGGGGGGGGGGGGGGCTGGACATGCACCAGTGGATAGAGGGCAGAGAGGATAGGAAGGTAGAAAGGAGGGGCAAAGGTGGCGGTGCTGGCGGCGCTGGCGGTGCACGAACCTCGATGTCATTCTCATGGCTGAGCGAGGCCACGAGCTGGTGGCGGATGACAATCGTCGGCCGGCCCTGACCGAGGATACTGTTGCCCTCGAGCGTGCGGACCCATGCCGGCGTCGGGAGGCCGAAGAAAGACAACACCCTCGGCAGGAAGGACACGGGTGACAGGGAGTCCAAGAAGGAGAAAGTCGGGTCGCCGATGCTCAGGAAGTCCACGTTGAAGGGGAGCTTGATATGGACGTCACTGGGGGGACGGCGGGCGTGTCAGCGAGCGCGAGCCAGGCCTACGGCCAAGTGACGGGCGATTCAGGGGGGGGGGGAGAGAGAGAGAGGGGGAGGGAGGGAGGGAGGGGGGGGGGGAAGCGCGCGAGGGGGAGGAACCGGTGGAAAGGAGGACAGTGCAGGAAGGCGGCGGGGAGGTGGGCATGCATACCGGGCGCCCTCCGGCAGGACGATATTCAGCTCAAAGCGCAGGATGGCCGCCGAGCTGTGGGACTCCAGCAGCGGCAGGCGGAGCATGTGAAGCGACGGGTCGTCCTGGCTGGTGGAGCCAAACAGGAAGTTCGGGTCCTTGGGCGAGGCGGCCTCCGTGTCGGAGAAGGTGCCGAGACTGTCAAGTGGCACGGTGTAGCCATGGCTCCATTCGGCGCGCCAGCCGCCAAACAGAGGATACCGCGTCTTCAGGGTCAAGATGCGCGGCAGAGCCGAGTTCAGCTGCGGCGTCTCGGCGTCGACAATGCTGCATTTGCGGGGGGGGGGGGGGGCGGGGGGCGGAAGGGGGGGGGGGGGGGGGGGGGGTGGGGGGGGGGGGGGGGGGGGGGGGGGGGGGGGGGGGGGAGAGCAATTTGACCGTCGTGGCGCACCTGGAAGACACGTTACCCAGCTGATCGACGAAGTAGATGTTCTTGGCCATGGAGGGGATGGGGAAGCGGAAGATGCCGGCCATGCCGTCGGGATTCGAGCCGTGCGACCGATCGGGGGAGGACATCTTGGCGCGGGAGAAACCGCCGCGCAAGGCGGCCCCGGTGTTGAGGACCTGGCTCCCCGGCGGTGGAGGTTAGCGAAGCAAGTGCAGGAGGCGGCATGAACCGGGCGAGAGGGAGGGCGGAGGGCGGAGGGCGGAGGGCGGAGGAGTGCAGACGGACATGGTAGGAGTTATCCACATGCAGGGTGCCAGTGAGGTGGGACACAGTGGCCGTGCGAGTCAGATCCTCCACAATGGCCTGGCCGGCGGGCTCGCGAATGCGGAAGGAGACCAGGGGGAGTTTGGCCGTGCCGGCACCGGTGGCAAAAATGTCGTCAGTGGCTGGCACGTCGACAAAGGGCCCAAGAGAGAAGTGCGTGGACGAAGCGATGGACTTGCGCCGGTGGTCGGTCGGGGTGTTGCTCGGGATGAGGCTGACGCTGTGACCGTCTACGGACCAAAAAGGGCGGGGGGGGGGGGGGGGAAAGGGAGCAGCGGAGGGTCAGCCAGTGCGCCGGATCAGGAAGGGAAAAGAGCGGGACAACGGGCATGCGCACCGCCGGTCATCTTGGCGGTCATGATCTGCTCGGTTGTCTTGTAGGGCGAGACAAAGTGCAGGGGAGTGGTGGTGGCGAGGAATTGCCTGCGAGCAAGTTGAGAGAGACACATGTGGGCATGTGGGCATGTGTCAGTGACTGGACGATCGGCCGGCAGCATGGGGGAGGGAGGGGCGATGGAACGGACGGGTCGCCCTGCTCGATGGTGGCCGGGGTGGGACGGGCGCCACCAATCTTGATGACATAGAAGGCCAGCGTGCGCGAGGCTTGCGGCGGGAGCGGCGTGGCAAAGGAGTATTCGTAGACCTGGACCGGGGAGCTGACGTGTGGTGTGCATGACAGTGAGAAGACCAGAGAGTGAAGGAGGGGCATAAGGGGGGAGACAGACATAGGTGCAGAGAGAGAGAAAGAAAGAAAGGGAAAAGGGGAAGGCATCAGGGAGCGAGTGTGTGTGTGTGTGTGTGTGTGTGTGTGTGTGTGTGTGTGTGTGTGCACACGCGGGGGACCGGGGCGAAGGGACATGCTCGGCGAGGCATACCTGCTGGAGGACTCCGAGCGGGACAGGAGTCGCAGCGACTCCAGCGGTTGGAACTGGTCCTCCTCATAGGGGCTGACCGAGGAGATCATCCCATCACTGGGCAGGGGGCGAGCGGGGGGAAGGAGGGGGGGAGAGAGAGGGGGAGAGAGAGAGAGAGAGAGGGAGAGAACGTCAGCGCAAGGTCGATGTCAGGGGAGAGGGAGACCCAAGAGGACGCACTTGACAGGGAGAGTCAGCCGGTAGTGCGCCAGATCGGCGTCCCCCTGTGGGGCCTCGTAGCTGACGGTGATGTTGAGGAGCTCCGAGTGGAAGGCCGACCCGTCGGAGATGGTGAAGTCCAGCTGGCGGGCCACGCGCGAGTTGACGACAAGCGCATCCGAGGCCGAGGCGCCGGCCAGGGCCAGCAGGCCGGTCAGGGCCAACCACACCGCAACCAGGGGCAGCGCCCACTGCCGGCCGACGGCCGACAGCCACAGAGACGCGCGCATTGGGCCGGCAGTGGGGGAGGGGGGAGAACGGGGGAGTGCAAGGGAGGGGAAGAGGGAGAAGGGGCGCAGGGGGCGAGCAAAGAGCAGGCGGGAGGGCAAGCTTCCAGGGCAAGGGCGCGGCGGGGACTGGTGAGGCAGGGAGAGAGAGAGAGAGAGAGGGCGGGAGAGACGGGAGTTGAAGGGGTCTGCCGTGGGCCGATGGCCGGCGGGGGCAAGGGCGCCGCCGCGCGATGAGTCCCCCCTTTGCCGAGCGAGGGGGGGGCACCGGGCGCCGGGCGCCGGGCTCCAGGACCGGGCGCCGGGCTCGATCTCCCCCCTCGGGGGCGGCCTCATCTAGACGCCCCCCGCCCCCCCCCCCCCCCCGTGAAGGGAGCACCGCGCTTGTCCATGTTCCCGTCCTGCCTCGGCGGGAAAACTACGAAGACGCCTATCGAGTACTGCTGTGGGGCCAGTTGGCGCGGAGGGCGCGACGAGGCGTGCCCGCCACCTCCGAGCAGTCCCGGGACGCGTAGACGCCAGCGTCCGTCGGCAGATGGCGATCCCGTTCGCCTGCGGCTGACCTGGGAAACAGTCCCCAAGTCATGTTATAATATGCTCGGACAATATAGTGTGACCTGCGAGACGGCCCTCCGCCGGTTGCACCCGCATTTGTCTCCCTCGCTCTCCAAGGGTGGTCCATCTCAATCGCCCGGAAAAGAACCGGCATCCGGGGGGGGGGGGGGAGACAGGCCGGGCGGGCATGCGCAGGTGCCAGCTGTGCGGTTTCCGGGGGCGCGGGGAGCAGGGGGACACACACACACACACACACGGGCCCGGAGCCCTGGGATCTGATCCGCCCCCTCCTTAACAGGCCGCTGGGACGGCCCGGCGGTCCGGCGGGGGTTGTTTTTTTCCCCCCCCCTCCCCCGCGCCGGCTGGCCGGCCGTTGTTCCCGCGGTTCTGGCCGAGACGCTGGCTGCCTGGGGGGGCCGCGCAAAAGGGGTCGCCTGGCTGTTTCCAGGGCGAGGCGGCACGACCCGAGGACGGGAGGCTCCCCCCCCCCGACCCGGGGAACTCCCTCGAGGGAGATTATTGTGGCACGGTGTTGGTCACAGATCGCCCCCCCGGGCGAGGAGGGAGCATCCTCCTCCTCCGACTCTGCCCTTTTTGCGCGCGCGCGCGCCTTGCCCTCGCCTCCTCCCCCCCCCCCTTCCCGCCGCCCAATCTTTGCCCACGCCTCTTTCCTCCTTGTTTTTTCTTTCCTTCGCTCCCTCCCCTCCGGCTCTGGTCATCGGCCCCTCCGCCCTCGGCCTCTCTGCCCCCGGCCGCTCTTCCACCCCGGCCTATGGATTCGCCGTCAGGCGTATCTGGGGGCCCGCCGCCGCTGCCGCCGCTGCCGCCGCCGACCCGGTCCGGCCCGGCGCCCCCCCCCTGGGATGTGCGTCCTCTCCGAGCTCCCCTCCCCTGCCCTTGGCCTGTGCTCTGACTGAGCGCGCACCTTCTCGCTCACCGGCTGCCTCACTCCTGGGCCCGCCTCGACAGCTGGATGTGGCCAAGCTGCGCGCCGTTGCGGCCCTGGGCCTGCCGCCACCGCCGGCCGTCGGCCCTGCGAGCGAAGTGTGTGCCACCTGCGGGCTGTCGCGGTTTACCTTTGCCTGCACGGACCTCTTGCACCAGACATTCTGCCAGTGCCCGGAGCCGGGGGACTTCTCCCCCCTGTCAAGGGCGCCCGGGCCGCCGGGATGGTGGACCTCGGCCGCCCCGGGGTCACCATCGGGCTCCCACCTGGCCGATCCACTGGCCTGCTGGGTGGGCATGGCGGATGTCGAGACATCCGGCCCCGGGACTCCCATCAGCTCGCAGTACTTTTTGACCTTGCACCAGATGGCCGACACCATTGGTACGCGCCCACCGAGAGGTCTCTCTCTCTCTCCCTTTCCTCTTCCTTCTCCCTTGACCTCGTCCCTGGGTCCCTCTTCTGCAATTATACAGACCCCGGACTGACTCCCCTTCGCCGGTCCCCCCCCCTATAGATTGCCCTGCCCGGGCGTCGGCCACCACCCCGCCCTCACCCTACAATCCGGTGCGTGGGCGCCATGCTCCCCCTTCCCCCGGTCGCCTGTCTTCTCACACTGCCCTTGACTCACTCTGCCCGGGTCCGCATGTTCAGAATCTTCTCTTCAGCTTCTCGGCCCCGACCGGGGGCCCGGCGCCGGCGCCATGCCAATGCTCGGTGCCGACCGCCCCGGGGGCCTATGCCCCGACCACCGATCGGACCTTCCGCCTATGCGCCTGGCGCCTCACCAGTTCCCACACCCCGGCTACCCTTCATACTCTCAACTGGTGCCGGAGCGCCGCTCCAACGGCAGCCAGCCTGCTGACCGGCGACCAGCTCTTTTCCCTCGACCTGGTGGCCGTGCGCACCGTCGCCCAGTCGACCATGGAGCCAGTCAGCCTGGCCCGATCGACCGGGCCGCCCTTGCGGTCGGCGGATCTCCTGGCCGGCTGGCCGGCCCTTGTGCCGGACCTGGCCGATCCGCCCCCGGGGCCGGGCTTCCCCGCCGACATGCTGACCGAGCAGGCGGATGATCGTCCGGCCGGCGACCCCTCCCTGAGTGGGCGCCTGCTTCTCTTCTTCGGGAACACGGTCCTCGAGGCGGTGCACAGGAGGGCACCCGACTCCGGGTTGTCGCCTGCCGCCACTGACCATGCCCCGGCCGAAGGCAGCCTGCAGCCTGCCACCGGTGAGCCCGAGCCGATCGCGGCGCGGCCCTGCTCATCGACGGCGCTGGCCGGACTGTTGCAACTGTCCCGGCGCTTGCGCGATGGCGAGGCCCGGGTGGCCCAGCTGCGTGAGCGTGTTTTGGTGTCCTCGTCATCGGCCGGGTCGGGCCCCAGTCCGGCGGCGGTGGCAGCCCAGGCACAGGCCGTGCGGAGTGCGCAATCCGGGCGACATTTCGCGGCCGACCTCCTGGCACAGTCCTTTGCCGGGTCCTCGGAATGCCGGGACTTCGGCGCCGGCAAGTCCGGCTCCCTGGGCGGACCGGCGACCGGGGCTCTCTGGCGGGGGCTGATCGCACGCCGGGCGCGCATGCACGGGGCCCGGTGGGCCCAGCTACGCGTGCGCCTGGCCGGGGACTTCCTGCTCCCGCCGTGCGCCGAGTGTGGGCCCGCGGTCCCGGGGAACCGGGCCCCCCTGTGCTCCGGGTGCCGGGGGCGCTTGCTGTGCCTGCCATTGAAGCTGGGCTATGCCACGGCCCTGGACAGCGGGAAGCCCAGCCGGCCGGCTCCTCGGCCGGACCAGGCGGCCCCCCTGCTCCGGGCCAACCGGGCCGTGGTCCAGCGCCTGGCGGTCCTGGTGGACATGCAGCAAACCCAACTGCTGGCCGATGTGCAAACCCTCTTCCGGCCGGTGTATGTCGGCCGGCCGGAGCTTCTGGAGTACTTCTTGGCATGCTTCGGCCTGCCGCTGATCTCCTCCTACCTGGGCCAGCCCCTGCGCCTGCCGCTGTACCATGAGGGCCCGCCATTGCTATGCGGCTTGAGTGTCCCCCCCTCGCCGTACCAGAACTTCCACGTGTCCACCTCCCTGCCGCTGGTGGCCCGCCGGGAGACCGAGGTCCTGGCCAACTTCTCGTACTCCAGCTACTTCCGGGCCGGCGAGTCGCGGCGCCTCTTCCTCCCGCCGCCCTACATGCCGAACTCCCTGTTCTATGTGGCCCCCTCGGCCTTGCCATACTTCAACCGCTCGGGCCGGCTCATGCGGCCGGTGCTCTTCCCGCACACGGTTCAACTGCTGGAGTTCCCCCTCTCCCTGGCCTTCGCGCACTTGTACAGCCACTCGGCCGGCGGGTCCGGGGGTGGTGGCGCAAGCAGCAGCGGCGGTGGGTCCGGCGGCGGCGGTGGATCCGGCGGCGGCAGTGGGGCCGGCGGCGGCGGCGGTGGCGGCGGCGGCGGCGGCGGCGGCGGCGGCGGCAGCGGGTCTGGTGGCTCTGGCGTCACCAGCCCCGGCGCGACCGGTGCCCTCGAAGGGCAACTCATTCCCGGCTCCCTGGGTCTTCCCGGTGGCGTGCGGTCTGCTAGCAGTTCCTCCCAGCCGCCACCGCCTTCGGGGACACTTTTCCGGATACCCGATCTACTGTTCAATCTGCGCCTGGTATGGTCATGTTGTGTCTTCTTCTCATTTTACCCAGCCCTTCTGATCGCAGCAACTGACCCCCCCCCCTCCTCCTGGCTTGTGTTTCTTCTGCTTCTGCTTTTGCTTCTTCTTTCGCCCTCCCTCTCCCGGCAGCTCATCTCCTTTCGACACAGGACCACTCATTTCCTTTCGGCCGCCGAGTCACTGGACCCATTGCATGCGGCTGTTTACCCAGACGGCCACTCATGGCAACAGCAGCAGCAGCAGCAGCAGCAGCAGCAGCAGCAGCAGCAGCAGCAGCAGCAGCAGCAGCAGCAGCAGCAGCAGCAGCAGCAGCAGCAGCAGCA